GACAGTGACTATTTGTAATTAATAAAAGTAAAATAGTTTTCTTTTTCAATATTTATTTCATGTTTCATTTTCTCCATTCATTCATCAGATAATTTATCGATAAAGAATATCGATTTTATCAAGCACTAGCGTGTATGAACATTTTTATTGCCTTTTTGCGTGTGTGAGTGTGTATGCCTACGGGTGTTTTGTGCTAGTTTGCGAACGAATATCTGTCCTGAGATTTATGTGTGGGTGTTTTTGTTGTGTGCGAAATACTTGTAATCACAGTATGTGTATGTGTAGAAATTAAAATAGTGGGGATGAAGCGGCGACACTGGTTCTAATACAAAATTAGAGCAAAGGCCTTTCCAACCTTATTTATCTATTCCGTGGTTGTAACTATACTGAGACCTTAGAACTTATATCTCAAGGTGTGGGGCGCATTTACGTTGTAGATGTCTATGGATTCCAGTAACCACTTAACACCAGGTGGGCTGTGAGCTCGTCCAAACATCTAAGCAATAAAGAAATAAATAAAAAAATAAATAAATTCAACGATAAGTATTTATATGAGCTTGACTATCGAATTGAATATTATTTTCTGTTTACTTTTAGGCAGTAGTGGTTAATTACCGTTTCGACTTATGATTCTCACATTTTTACAATTTTTTTTATAAATTAATCGAACGATACCATTTTTAGATGAACGAGTACTTGGAATCATTAGCTGCACTGTACCCCGGTCTTGTGACAGTCATCAACGCCGGCCTCAGCTACGAAGGTCGACAAATCAAATACGTTAAAATTTCAACCACACGATTTGAGAACCTTCGGAAGCCGGTGATCCTTATCGATGCAGCCGTTCACGCTCGGGAATGGGTCACGCCTCCTGTTGCTCTATACATAATCCATCAGCTCGTCGAAGCCGTTGTAGACAGACGACTAACCGAGGGCATTGACTGGATCATCATTCCTATGGCCAACCCCGATGGCTACGAGTATTCCATTGACGAGGTATTTCTAAATTATTTCCTTCCTTAAACATGACTCAAAAGTTCCCTAATCATGATTCTAATATCAATTTGTATGTAATAATCAAGAGTCCTCTTTGGAACAGGGAAAACAATTTACGTATTCATAAAATTCATTCGTTATAATAACGATGTTTTAGATTATATCAATGGCACGTCTCGGAAATTTAGTTAATGCAGTAATTTATTTCCATATTTCTGGGGAGTGTGCAGGGATTTAAGTATGAGGATAGGGATATATATAAGGAAATCCAATTAGATACGACTCGCAAATGATGTCAATTTAAACAGGTTTTTTTGTATTTACGCAGTATAGTATTTGATGTAGTCAATGTCAAATAATTGTCGGTACTTAGTTAGTAGTTCACAAAAACAATAGTCTCACCACAAGTATTATGTACTTAAGTATCCATTATTACGTACTATCATAATAATGGATATAAAAACAACGAGACAACTTGGATTTGGTCAGTGAATTTAGTGGTATCATAAAAAAATAAGTTAGAAAACTATGAATAAGAATATTTTAATTATTGCCGTAGGTCTTAAAGAATCTAGGAAGTATATTGGCAGCCATGAATGTATTTATTTACTAGCCGTACTCGCCTGCTTCGCTGGGCATTTAAAATTAACATTATTATTTATTGTCATTATTATTAGGGAGTCCAACACTCAGATGAATATTAGCCTATCCATTAAGTACTTGTATTTTCTACATGGATACCAAGTTTTTTTTTTATTTATTGCTTAGATGGGTGGGCGAGCTCACAGCCCACCTGGAGTTAAGTGGTTACTGGAGACCATAGACATCTACAACGTAAATGCGCCATCCACCTTGAGATATAAGTTCTAAGGTCTCAAGTATAGTTACGGCTGCCCCACCCTTCAAATCCAAACGCATTACTGCTTCACGGCAGAAATAGGCAGGGTGGTGGTACCTACCCGCGTGGACTCATAAGAGGGTCCTACCACCAGTAGTTTCAAGTCAATCGGATGCACGGTTCAGTAGTTATAATGGAACATTCGTAAAAACCACTGTAGATTTATATATTAGTATAGATTGTGTAGTCACGGGTAATTTTTCAAGTAGGTACGCTATAAATTTATTTAAATTTTTGACTTGATGATTGATTGAACAAACACTTGTTTTGAACTTTAACGCGTGAACGAGATCACGACCCACCTGTTGTTTAGTGGTGAACGAAGCCCTCAGACATCGTCTTGAGACATGAGGTTTTAGTCTCAATTGTATGGTAAAATAGCTGTCCCACCAAACAAACTGGAACGCATTATAGCTCCTAAAATTGGTACCTGCATGCGAGATTTGATCACCGGGAGTAAACGGAACGCCTTATCCTTCGAAATGATTGACAAACGATTTATCCTAAGCTTGAAGGCTAAACAAATAAATCTACCACGACATGAATAGGTACTATTTTATTATACGCATAGACGCACATACTATTGATTTAAAAAAAAATATTAATTAAAAATTTAAACTTTCGGTAAAATTCTATCACAGCCCTATCGATAATGCCTGATAGTGCCCAATAGTGGTGACGCACAATTTGTTTTAAGGAACATCAATATTTCAATCACAACATAGAGTCAACATAGATTAGAGTATACTTTATTATTCACTAAAAAGTACTGAAAATATCAATATACGAATAGAGCTGACTTAATTAACAGGCAATAATATGTATGTACATTAGGCTACCTTATCGCTAAAAGTAATCTTTAGCAGACGAACCGTTTTCGAAAAAGCCTAACCCATAAACAAAGACCACTGAGTTTCTCGCTCGGTCGCGATTCGGATCCGATAGTAGATTCTGCGAAGCACTGCTCTTGCTAGGGCTACTGTTAGCAAATTCTTTTAGGTCGAGCCCGTGAGCTCACCTACCGTCCGGGCGTAGCTGAAATAGCCCTCTAGGCTACCAGCGAATATGTAGGAAAAAAAAAGGAAAAGATAGATAGATAGATGGAGAAGATATACTAACGCGGTATTATTCATTACTTAAAAAGTAATTATTGTTTTTATCTTAACATATTATTTAGGACCGCATGTGGCGTAAAACCCGATCTAGGTCACATCCCGAAGCGGACACATGCCCCGGAGTTGACGGCAATCGTAACTTTGACCACCATTGGGGCACAAGAGAAGCTAGCAAAGACCCTTGTTCAATCATCTTTGAGGGGCCCACGGCATTCTCGGAACCAGAAACCAGAATCATCAGAGACGTGGCTCTTCAAAATGTGGACAGAGCAGCCCTTTACATTTCCCTGCACAGCTACGGCAATATGTTCTTGTACGCTTGGGGGAACAACGGTGAGTTTTAATTCAATTCGACAATATTATGTAATCAGTCATTTATTTAAATCTAATATATAATATGTTCTTTAGTTTTCACGAGTCGTAGACACAATTAAGGCTGCCTTTACGGTTTTCCTTTTTTATTTTTTTTAATTGTCGTTATATTATTTCTGACTGCGACAGTCAATCGTCCGTTAGCCCGAAAACAGTATTCAAAACTTCGAAAATGATATATGTAATAAGAACAAAAAAAAAAGCGAAATCAAATCGTAAATGTAGTTTATTTTTTTTATTGCTTAGATGGGTGGACGAGCTCACAGCCCACCTGGTGTTAAGTGGTTACTGGAGCCCATAGACATCTACAATGTAAATACGCCACCCACCTTGAGATATAAGTTCTAAGGTCTTAGTATAGTTACAACGGCTACCGCACCCTTCAAACCGAAACGTATTACTGCTTCACGGCAGAAATAGGCTGGGTGGTGGTACCTACCCGTGCGGACTCACAAGAGGTCCTACCACCAGTTTTTTTTAATACATTTAAATCGACAGGTTCCCTGCCGAACAATGCTTTGGCTCTCCACCTGGCTGGAGTCAGAATGGCCGAGGCCATTGACAGGCTGGCTTTGGACAAAGCCGACCGTTACATCGTCGGTAACGCCGCACAGGTCCTGTACTTCACGTCGGGTACATCTCGAGACTGGACAAGGGCCATTGGCATTCCTCTTACGTACACTATGGAGCTCCCCGGATATGAATATGATTTCATTGTGCCTCCGGAATACGTAGAGCAAATAGTCACCGAAACATGGGCCGGCATAGCAGCGGGTGCTCATTTCGTTTTGTCCATATGGTAGAAGACGGTGATGTGAATGACTGTATTTACCAAATAAAATGCATTACGTTACAAACAGGAGTTTTTTTTTTTAAATAATAATTTACACCCGGCTGCGGCGGAACTTTTTAACTTTTTTTAGTTAATGTAACAAGTAAACAGACCGGTATTGCCTTCTGATATAATTTAATCGCCAACCGACATTTACTTGTGACAGTGCGTACTCCTATTATTTATATATATATATATTTTTTTATATTTTTTTTATTGCCCTTGTAGGCAGACGAGCATACGGCCCACCTGATGGTGAGTGGTTACCGTCACCCATGGACTTCAGCAATGCCAGGGGCAGAGCCAAGCCGCTGCCTACCTGCCTATGCTCGGAAGTACCACCATCCGGCATATAAGCAGTCATTTGTTCCAGTTTAAGGGTAGTACAACCGTTATTTATTTATTACCTGTCTTCTTACTTGTCTTGTCTTAGAGCCATAAATACATCACTAATACTATACCAATTTTTCTAATGAAATACGTACTTGATAAATGTTCACGATTGACTTCCACGGTGAAGGAATAACATCATCTAATAAATCAAAACTGCAAAATTAAAATTTTTGTAATGACTGGTTACTGGTGGTAGGGCGTATTGTGAGTCCACGCGAGTAGGTACCACCACCCTGCCTATTTCTGCCGTGAAGCAGTAATGCGTTTCGGTTTAATGGGTAGGGCAGCCATCGTACTGTTACAACTAACTTAGAACTCTTGTCTCAAGGTGACTAGCGAAATTTACGTCGTAGATTTCCATGGGCTCTAGTAAGCACTTGAAAAAATCAATAAAAAAAATACGTACCTATATGAAATTGTTCACCAGCGCAGTGAAATATATATAAACATGTATATTTGCATGTATGTAGTCGGGTAGACTCGATCAGTTTACGGAATTCAAACAACTGCATAGAAAATGATGAAAGCTAACACGATAGTACAATACCTTGTTTTATCAACCTGAATGTAGACATAGCCGGGTGTACTTTGGTTCTAGATTCTTAAATACTTAGTTTATTATAACTTATCGCAGAAGAAGGTTTTTAAGTCTTGTGTCGATTTTATAATGAGACAAATGTGCTTAATAATAGTTATTATTGGATTAATAGCTATACAGACTTCTGGGAGACTACATTTTAAACGAAAAAGTGTCGCATATGAATATCCGTATTATCAAATAATTCTAACTTTAGGAAGTTGCAAAGGTATTCTATATTTATTCGTTTCGAAAAGCTTCCGGTACTTCTTTTTTTTGATTTTCATTAAAGCTGTGTTTTAGAATATTTAGGTATGTAATAAACGCACACTCGACTGTTGTGGCTAAGTCCGAAAGTAGGTTAACAAAATGAAAAGACTAATTGTTAAAATTTAAAAACTAAAAAGTCAATAAAACAACAAATAGCTTCTGAAGGTTTACTCCTAACCTCAAATTCTATTAATTGTTTTTCAGATAAGATAATTTATTCGGAATCAAAGGTTTGGGGGCACACACGGTACAACAGAGTCCTTGATATATATTTCAAAAGTGAAGATCGTGAGTTATATGTTCAACAGATACATTATTTACCATTTAAAAAAATATTATTTTGAAACCAGACCTTCAAAAGTAAAAGTCAACGTTTATTTTCATTTATTATTATTATTTCATTCAATACGTCTTTCATTAGGTATATACTATTCATACCGAATTGTTTGGAATTGAAGGACAGATGCGTATATTTTGAAAGAATAAATTTAATGAAAACATAAATTTACATTAGGGCAATACCAAGGCAATACCATTTACCATGCACTTGTTTATTGCTTACTTTTTTATTGCGCAGCATAATTTAGCATAATTTATGCTACAAATGAAGACGAGCTTAGGAGCTATAGAAATATATTTTTCACTTATACTACACGATATTTTTTTTTAATTTTTTTATTGCCCTTTTAGGCAGACGAGCATACGGCCCACCTGATGGTGAGTGGTTACCGTCGCCCATGGACTTCAGCAATGCCAGGGGCAGAGCCAAGCCGCTGCCTACCGCTTAATACTCTCCACAAGCCTCGTTTGAAGAAGGACAATATTTAATAAATATTTACGCAATACATAAATGGTTAGATATTATTATGTGTGCCTGCGTGATGGCAACATAGTCGGAACAGGACACCGGATGAACATCTGATGCAGATTTTAACCTCATTTCAATCTGTTACGAAAACCCTTAGACGTCATAAACTGAATACGTCTGCTAAAACGACTTTAGTATCAATAACAATTTAACATAGGCTGCGGTTCCATTGAAACCGAAACATGTGTTAGCACCATTTCATAAAATAGGCAGAACTCAACCGCAGCTTAAAAAATCCCTCAGGACGATATAAGTACATATGACGGCATCTAGAAATTTGACAGTTAGATCGGAAAATACCAGAAGGTAGTACCGAAAAGAAACCAAGTTTAAAAAACCGTATGTATAATGTTAATTAAAACTACTTTTACGGCTTAACCTTGCGTTTTTTGTTTTTTTTTTTTATAATTTCTAACGTTTTCTTATATCAGTTCTCTTACGAAATGTAATTTGACTTAAATGTAAACTGAATAAATGTATCTTAATTATGTCTACGACTCTCGAAAACCGAATAAAATATTTCAACCTCTTATTCACTTTTAAATTAGACATAACTAATCAAGCGGACAGAGCGTTTTTTTTGTCGTCTGACTCATGTGACCTCTGCTTTTTGCGGAAATTTATGTTAGATAAATCATGATAGACATTGTCGTGATAAAAATATTTTTTATGATTTTCATTAATTTTAGCATCCGTCTTGGTGTCGAAAGCAGAGATAATTCTCTTAATAAATAACACAAACATTATGGCGAATTCAGAGAAGGGAGTTGGAAACCAAGAGTTCGGTGCGACTGTGTTCCTTCCCGCTGACTCTGGTGCTATACTATTCTACCTGACGATTTACGCTTGTAATGGAAACACATCTGAAAAAGATATTCCTGCCAAGTGCTCTGAAAAATAATTGAAGAAGAGATCGACAAACAAACGCAAATAGTGATTAAATACTTTTTATTTTATTTTATTGAACTCCAAATAATGTGCAATTAAAATAAACAGTTATTTTATTTTTATTTAAATTATTATCAACGAAATGTAAAACTGCCCTGTTTCAACGAATTTGCTAGGCCTGACTGACAGTTAATTAGAAGAAGCAAATATAATAATACTAAAATATTAGATTTCTGTACCTACCTACATATGTAATTTATTATGAAAGCGCTTACAAGGTAAATATATAATGAAAATTCTGTGGGAGCCATAGGCGACATTTCTTTTCAATCTTAAACTAAAACTAAATATTAAAGTACTGCTCTATGAGGCATTTTTTTCCTACCTATTTGCTGGTAGCATAAGAGGCTATTCCAGCTACGCCCGGACGTGTAAGTGAGCTCACGAGCTCAACCTGAGGGAATTTGCTAACACTAACAAGAGCAGTGCTTTGCAGAATCTACCACCGGATCGGAATCGCGACCCACTGAGAAGATCCGCCGAGAAACTCAGTGGGCCTGTGTCTATGGGTTATTTCTCTCGTCGAACTCATTGTCGTAATCGACGAGCTTAATGAGAATGGGTCGAAGCTCTGACTAGAGTAAATTGAACTAAGTTTAACTCAACATATTGAAGATACAAGTGAAGGATTCACGTAACCGTCTCATCTCATCAAATTCTTAGATAATGGCTCATTCGCTCTTGAAACTGTAATAATGTATTATTAATTTCGTGGCATAAAAATGCTAAATGGTACTACACAGAAAATGCAAGCCTAGCCTTTTGAAGTCGTCGTGGCCTAAGAGATAAGACGTCCGGTACATTCGTGTTTGGCGATGTTACCGGTGTTCAAAGCCCAGGCGGGTACCAAATTTTTCTAATGAAATACGTACTCAACAAATGTTCACGATTGACTTCCACGGTGAAGGAATAACATCGTGTAATACAAATCAAACCTGCAAAATTATAATTTGCGTAATTACTGGTGGTAGGACCTGTTGTGAGTCCGCACGGGTGGGTACCACCACCCTGCCTATTTCTGCCGTGAAGCATTAATGTGTTTCGGTTTGAATGGTGTGGCATGGTGTGGCAGCCGTTGTAACTATACTTGAGACCCTTAGAAGCTATATCTCAAGGTGGGTGGCGCATTTATGTCGTAGATGTCTATGGGCTCCAGTACTCCAGTAACCACTTAACACTAGGTGGGCTGTGAGCTCATCCACCCATATAAGCAATAAAAAATAAATAATAATAATAATAAGCTTATAAATTTAGTAGGTTTGATTTTTACTACACGATTCTATTTGCTGCCATCATGGAAGTAGTTCGTGAACATCTATTTAGTACACATTTACTAATCAAAACAGAACCTGCATGCAAGATTGAAGCAACTCCATGAGTACATTTTTTGATACGCGCGGGGTATTATACTTCAGGTATCACGATTTCCAATTTCATCCCATTTCATGCCTTTGGTTTCATTAAATTTCATCCCATAATGAATTTCATGTAAATCTACTAAATTACATTCTGAATTAATTTTCCCGCAGCCAAATGTAAAATATTAAATTAGAATGTGGGTAAAGTTCAAAAGCCTAGTCCAATTAATAATTTTAAAAAAGTTCTGTCAAATGTCAAACAACGAATCCGTAAAACGGAACGCTCTGTTTATTTACGTTCGTAAGTCAATCGTACGCGAATCACAATAGTCATTACATACACAAAAAAATAGAAATTCCCAGTGTAATGTTAACTATAGAGCTTTAAAAAAATGTTGTGGTACTTACCATGGTCTGAAAGCATTAAGAAGAGAGCCTGTAGATATCTTTTACAGCGTTATTTGGGTAATTTTCTTGAACAGAAACTTACTTTAGATCAGCTGAGCGTCGATTTATACAATGGTACTGGGACAGTGTGCGATGTTAGCCTTGATTGTCAGGTAAGTATACATTATTTATGCTATTTACGAAAGATCGCGACTTTTAATGTTTTTAACAATGGAGAACCCTTATTTGTGTCTTATACCGAAGTCATGGCTGCCAATTCGAAGTGCGCATTACGCATATTAGCACGTGTTATTATCGCTCTTACAAGACAAAGGACATCGAGCATTCGCCTTTTATATCATATATCATTAATTTATATTTGATTTACAATAATATTTATTTGTTCTTTCTTCAATGAAATTAATTACCACAATCATTACACTAATCACCTATGTGGACTAGAGGTCTAATAATATAACTAAGTAATTGAATTTTACATCACAGTATACATTCGTAATTGAGATAACAGAAATAGTTTTAATTTAAAAGAAAATATTCAAAGCAGTTAATCAATATTACACACATAATCCTTCAAGAGATACAATACGCACAAGACACAAGATCCTGTGTTTAGAAACAAACACAAAACTTTCTTGATTAGGTCTCTACATATATTTGTTGAATAATAAATCAATCAATTAAAATAATTTATTGATAATTTATGATTCTAGGCTCTCAATGAATTAGGGGACTCGCAAAACTGGCCATTACAAATAGTTGATGGTTATATGCAAGAGATCACTGTCACAATCCCATGGTCGACTCTGCTAAAAGATGACTCTATTGTTGAAGTTAATGGTCTCTCAGTCACAGTTCAACCCAAAGTGCGGGCTGAGCCAGGTAATTTGGTATTAAATAACTCAATATGTTCAGACAAAGAAAATTGCATAAGTAGGTATGAAAGTTTGTCTGGTTATTAATTCTTTAGAATGATTATTCCTAGAGATTGATAAATCAGTAATTAGTATAATTAAACTGTATATCTCTGTCTTAATTACTAATGGCTTCCATTAGAATGTGGACTGTCATATTCTTTCACTGCAAAAATTAGCATGACATTTGGTGCTCATTCACGCAACTTTACAATAAACCTTATTTACTAGTAAATTCTGATAAATAATACTCGATTCTTTGAAATCCTTCAGAGGCTTCTTGCGATATCCATGGGAAATGATAGGCTACAGCTATTATTATAGGCCAACTCCATGTGGCCATTCTGGTTAAAAGGGCTGTGCATGATTGCTAGTTATTTCTTTGATGAGACACATTACATACTTAAACACTTCTTAACTTGTTTTACAGCGTCATCAATGTTGGAATCAATGTGGTCTTCAATGTCATCGTCCATGCAGCTAGCTGCAGAGTGTCTCCGTGACGAAGATGGCCCTCAAGAAACACATGCTGTTGAAGGAATTGAAATGTTTGCACACGCTATTGATTCAAGTAACTCAATTTTAATACATAATTGAAGTATAATTGAATTAAAAAATTTACACTTTTTGTTGTATAGTAGATTTAAACAGCTGACCAAATTAGCTCAATTTAAACACCAAGCTATACGATGCTGGGTATGACTTCATGGATAGACACAGGGAGGAGCATCATCAAAGAATTATTAACGTCCCATGGGGCAAATCATGACCCCAAAGTAACGAGAATGTCAACATGAAAAGAATATTGTACATTAATTTACTAGTTATAAAGTAGTTTAATTTATTTTATTTTATTATATACATATAATAGCTTTAAATATTAATAAATAAAAAAGTCACACCTCATAATTGCACAAATATAAACACACAATAACATTTTCCATTCTAGTTCTGAGCAGGGTGAAAGTGAAATTCATAAATACAAAAATAAGGATAGAGCATGTACCCAAGAATGGCAACAGAGGAATAGCACTAGAGATTCACGTAAAGAAGTAAGCAATGTCTAGTTTTATTTGACCTCTACAATAACTGATTACAATAATCTAAACGTGTACAATTGTATGACCTTGCCGACAAATACGACTCGAATATATTTGGTACTTGAATTAATTACATGTTTGTCTTGAAATGAACTTTAAAATATTTTATATGTTCATAACATGCTGGTCTATTTTTTCGGTAAACTAGTCATACATTCACGCCTTTGAAGGGTGAATTAATATAAAGAGTCCGTTTGTCCAATGTAACCAGAGCTCGACCTCAACTTCTGACGATGAGGAGTGACATTCACAATGTAATTCCAATGAGCTCCAGCTACTACTTAAAAACAAATTGGTCATGAACTTGTCTAAAGTTATTAACTAATTATACTAAACTAATTAAGAAAATGTTAAATTTTACTTATTAATAACATAATATAATAGATGCACTTAGATAATCTATTGGAACTTGGAACTCGAAACCAAAGATTTCAAATTAAATTCTCAAAAATTAATTTCAGTATCAATTATTTCGACGAAGCTGGTGCTGAACCAGCACCTGATGTGACAAATCCAGAAAAGACTAAGACATACATCGTAGCTACTTACACCAACAAAAAAATCAAGTTTGACGGTGTGGCTCTTTATACTGATGAGTTTCCATCGAAATTGAGAACTATGTCGCGGAGCCTTATCATGGAAAAGTCTGTTTCTTCTCAACCAGATAAAACTGAACATAATCCATTTGAAACAACAGACATAAATTGTCAGAGTATGGCTTCGGATGTCTTCTATGAAACAAGGAGTGTTTTATCCACGATAGAGCCAGAACTAGCAGGAGAAACTGTAACAACGTCAAGGAATAGCACGAGTACATCAGAATTGTCACCAGATGACAAAATTAATCAGCCCGATCCGATCCTTCTTGCAAAGATAACTGGACAACAAGAGTTGTCGATGAAGATAAAGCATACAGATGAAGTGGAGGGCCCCAAAATTGAAATTAGAGTGTTGCTAGGATCACTGGTGGCTTTCGTGTCTCCAAGGCAGCTCCACACCATGACTGAGCTGATTGACGCATTGAATCAACCACATCTAGAAGATACAAGGCAAGTTTCTTTTTTGTTTCAAAATTGAGCAGTATTCTCTCGCCCCCTAGTTCCATATTTACTTATTTTTCCTTAAAAATCACTAGGATAGTCATTTACATAGGTTTTTGTACTTCGAAAATTCTGCTGAAATCGTCTGAAAATAAAATACCTATTTATTTGTTAGATACCTGTCACTGTGATTGACAAAAATATAATTTACAAGAATTGAAGTTAATGTTGTTTATATAAAATAAATAAATAAAAACCTTCCAGCAACATACCGATGCGTTCAAACAGTGTAAACATGCAATGCAAACCGATGCGACCGGTGGATTTCCAGCTAATAGAGGCTCAGCTGTTGGGTAACTTTGAAAGGCAATACTCAAAACCATCGAACATGTACGGATGGTCCGGTCCTAATTATGGTGAGTGTCATCTTATCTTACAAAAGTTATATGTATAAATAAAACGATAGAGGTCTGTAGCTATACGCGTATGACGCAATAACCACCATATTTAGTAAATTAGTCGCTGTCTCTAAAGAAATACATATATTTATTTCTTTTGTTTGTTTACCTAAGCCCACAGATGAATGCGCAATGCAAATTAATTATTACAATATCTTCGTGTAATATTATAAAGTTATTAATATTTTAAGAAACTACCTGCGTATCGAAAAAATCACATAAGACAATAGTTGTCTGCGCGATTTCTAAAAAATGTCCGTTCACGAAATATCATCACCAAAGTAGGATGGGCAGTCGCAAAACTGATATAAGCTCAACAGTAGCGCCTTATAAGACACTAATAATCTTCACAGAAGAGAACGAGTCAGAAAACGAAAAGTTTCTCCCGATGACGTCAGCCGGCAACCAGTTGAGCGAGAGCTTCTCGTCTACAGCCAGCTCGATGAGCGCCAGTATATCTTCGAGCGTGAACCTGCCGACCATGCAGCCTCGGATCAAGAGAAACAAAAAGGGTAAGCACTCAACTCTACTACGTTGTACTGGTGGTAGGACCTCTTGTGAGTCCGCACAGGTAGATACCACCACCCTGCCTATTTCTGCCTTGAAGCACTAATGCGTTTCGGTTTGAAGGGTGGGGCAGTACAAACGACATGTGAACGGTTCTATGTACAATTTATGTACCATTATTCATTCGTTAAGACGTATACTGCAAATAAACGTGCAGGACAATGCCATGTCAACCCAGCCTAAATGTAGTTTTGATAACGTTTTATTCGTTCTGTCTTTCGTTCACTTCCTACTGAATGGCTTTTTGTGCAGTTATTATGATATGATTCTTGCCGAATTGGAAATAATTACAATGGCTAATGAGTTTCGTATCTGGCTCATTAAAACCGACAAAAGCTTAATTTTTTTTTTTTTTCATCGATGTTATTTTTTTTTTCGTTGGTTCTGCGACTTGCTAACAAAATCAATGCTTGATTCAAACAATTTAAATTTAAAACGCGTACTAGAAGCAGTGGCGTTGAAGACATTGAAAGACATAGTATTTTTTTGTTTTCTTTTATGAGCTGCGTGTATCTAAATCACGTGAACGTGTTTATGTTTTGTTTCAAGTTCCGCATATCGATGGCGATCCAACAGCCGAAGTGTCGCACGTCAGTCTGAGACTCTCATCGGTATCCTGCGTTCTCTTACACAAGGTACAATTAATCGATTAATTGTTAATCGATTTATTAATCGATTATCGGCAATTCTGACATAAAACCTTAAATCAGTAAGCTGATTGTTAAATGACATTACTCTAATGCTGCATACGTCAAAATCGTCACTGGTCATGTCCACCCAGCTTATTACTGCCGCGAAGCAGTCACGCATTCCCAACTATTGGATGCGGTTTCAGCAATACAATTGAGGCTTCGACCTCATGTCTAATTTTTTTTTTATTGCCCTTGTAGGCAGACGATCATACGGCCCACCTGATGGTGAGTGGTTACCGTCGCCCATGGACTTCAGCAATGCCAGGGGCACAGCCAAGCCGCTGCCTACCTCATTTTTAAATCCTACCTATGCTGATAGCCTTGAGAGGCTATATCAGCTTCGCCCTAACATGTAGGTGAGCTCACGGGCCTCAAACCGGAGTGGTACTAACACTGGCCTAGCAAGAGCAGTGCTTCGCAGAATCTACTACCGGATCGGAAACGCGACCCACTGAGAACATCCGGCGAGAAACTCAGTGGGCTGTGTCTGTGGGTTAATTCGCTCGTCGAGCCCTTCGAGGGTTGCCGGTGCTTGTGGTACCTTAAAGCACCGTTAGTAGATCAGGAGGATCCGTAATGACGTGTTTTGGGCGACGTCGACTGTTTACTTTTCGGTCTACAGGATCGGGTATGTCTCATGTCTCAAGGCGAGCAGCGGATTTTACGTTGCGACCTAAAATTTGGTTATACCTCGATACCAGGTGAAATACATACGTATATTTAAATATGAAACTCGATTAAAGTAATTAACTAAATCGTACCGCACAGGATATTCTGGTCTTCACATCAAGCGGCTCTGATTGCATTTCCCCGAGCAGCGCTAAAAAAATGCAAGAAGCGAGCGAGAGCTTTTTCGAAGACCTACAACCCTCACCGGCGCACGACAGCGACGTATTCGATTCAATAAACAAAGCTATAGATAAAGCTACCGAGAGAAATCATTTGAGGTACAGAATTGTCATTGACACACACACACACACACACACACACACACACACACACACACACACACAC